TGACAGTCTGAGAAAACCATCACTTAGTGGGGAGTTTGTACACTATTGAAATAGAATCCCTTTTGAAGAAGAAAAAAAAAACAATGTATTCCTCAAAAAGCAAGTCAGGAAACACTTGGAAAGGACACATCAATAAAGGGCAATAAAGAAAACAAAATCGATTCTCAATCATCTTCCTTTGTTAAGGTATCTTAACAAGTCAACCTTAAGTTGACTCTTGAATAAAATGCTGACATTCCCATCATCTGGGGTGCCTTGCAGCTTCCCTGAGCCTATTTTGCCCCCGAACCATTCATTGGTACCACTGAAATCTTAGCAGGTTCTCAACTTTTGAATCTTACACCTGACTACTAAAGTTACTGTTCTAAAGCAAGATGTTTGTATATTAATCATAGTTTTGACGTATGTCATAAGCTGAATTTCCAAAGTACAAAAGATCAAATATTTCTGATTTATCATAGATTTTTCCTCTTTAATAGAGAAAAAGAATTACACAGAATATGAATCTTGCAACTGGCACTACTTTACCACCCGTCCACTATAAAGAACTCTTTTTTTCTTGGACAAGTCTCATTTGCTAAGAGCTAGTCCTGTTTGATTTAGTCACATGTGACAGTAAACAGGTTAATCCAGACTCTGGCTTTCCTAGTCTATTTCCATCACTGAGGGAACTCAACCAGGACAAAGCAGTAGAAGTTTGTTCTATCTGCGTGGTTCCTTTTATCTTGGGCAGCTTTTATGGTAGTTTCTAAGCTCCCAAAATGTTTAAGTTATTAATAAGAAAAAGTGGGCACAGACAAGTAAACACTCAAGTTAATAGTAAATAGCAGCAGTGTACTCTTAAAGGAGCCCTTTTTTTAATTTTTCCACATGTGTGACAATGATAATATACACAATATTCAATGTATTACTCTAGACTTCAAGAATTAGAAAAGTTTTTTACTCTCTTTAAATCAAGAAGCTGGAAGCAACATGAAATGATGTGCCTGAAATATTCCTTGGTATTTAAAATGTGTCAAATTTATTGTTGTGGCAGCCAGTTAGATAAAAGACAGATGTTATAATTTGACAGCTTGAGGAAAACTTCCATTGAAGAACAGACATATATGATTAAATATTTCTGCTTGATATCATAAGGTCCAGAAATATTCTGTTGCTCCTCTAGAATATATGTGTTGAACAAAAATACTATAACAAACCCTTTAGTCTATATTCAGTTTTCCAACCAAACCAAAATCTTAAAGATTTAGTTGTTTATGATTCTGAGAGTTTACTCAATTTCATTTTTACTGGACATCAAATAAAAATGTGTTATTTCCTAGGAATCTGGTAACAACTGCCTGTAAATGCTCATAAAAATAAAATGTGTTTTCATGCCAAGAGGTTCAAAAAGGAAAATCTAGGATATTTTAGTCAGTTTCATTTGTATATGATAAAAATAATTTTGTTATCAAAACTGATTTGATATTATTTGGCTGCTTATTATGGGTTGGATTGTACCCCTCTCAAAGGTATGCTGGAATTCCTAATCCCTAGTAACTCAGAATGTGACCTATTTGAAAATAGGGTCTTTATAGAAGTAATCAAGTTAAAATGAGGTCATTAAGATGGGCCCTAGTACAATATTACTGGTGTCCTTGTAAAAATGGAAATTTGGACATAGACACAGGCGTGCGCAGAGAGATGATGTGAAGACATGCGAGGAAGGTGCCATATGGAGATGGAGGATTGGCGTGATTCATCTATAAGGCAAGAAATGTCTGAGGCTGCCAGAAGCTAGGAGACAAGCATGGAAGAGTTCCTTCCCAGGGGCTTCACAGGGAGCATGGCGCTGCCCACAGAGTGATTTCAGACTTCTGGCCTCCAGAGCTGTGAGATAATAAATTTCTATTGTTTTAAGCCATACTGTTTGTGCTACTTTGTTATAGTAGTCCAGAGAAACTAATACACTGTCGTAGTTCAAGAATGCCCAAGAGACAAGTCCAAGGCTTTGTCTGGATTGAATGTGCTTATATTCACTGAGCAGAACAATATGAAACCTCTGCTGGTTACAGTAGCAACTGTGCATGAAGGACTTGAGGCTCTAGATGCCGTAGAATTACCATGGCCCTGCTGCTGTTATATACTCTGTACTTGGTGTTTCAATTTGAGCTTAATATAATTTTTAAAATGTGACTTGAAGCTTTAGTTTTCTAGATCTTTTACAGTTTACAGTATTTCACGTATCTGTTCATAATATTGTCCATTTAAAATTCATTCTGTATTAAAAAATTAGGAAAAAATTATAATGTTTTAAATTATGAATTTTGTAAGGCCAGTTCAAAAGAAAACAAACAAGGCATTAGGATATCTACACTAAGTTCACATTCTACCATTAATTTTCTATGTGACTTCGCATATCTTGACTTCAGCTTCCCTTTCAATAAAATGGAGACAATAATACTTCCCATAATAAAATGGATATGAAAGTACTAAGGATGGTATGAAGGGCTATAGACATAATAACATATTATTATAACTCATGGTAGTCTTGCCTGGCACTTGAAAATTGAATGTAATTTTAGCTCTATTAAAATATTCATCATTTAAAATTATATACTTATAAAGCAAGTTTTAAAAAAATATTAATTACCTGATTCATATTTAGCTTCTCCACTTTTCTTATTGTTTTTTCATAAATAACATTGTTTCCTGGGAAGAAATGGCCTCCTCTTAGGAATGGAGACAGTGGTTCCTATAAAGAAAGTAAAGAATATGTTTTGTTTTAAAAGTTGCCTTTTCAAAGGAATCTTAACTTAAGCAAATATCCAGTCTCTAATAGGCTCTGAGGTAGTGGCAGAGTTTAGGAAGAGGGTAGAATGACATCCTAATAATGTATTGACAGATGCAAGGAAATAGTAATAAAGACAGTCCACTTTATCAAAGAAAACAATCTGAATTTCTCCTACTACATTTTACTAGGTCTAACAAAGTCTTTTGGGAAAATTGGTGGGGAGTGGGAAAGATAATTTTTTTTCTGTTCCTAAAGCAAGACATAACGAGTTTCCTCTGAGATACACAAGGATGAGGTCAACCTCATTTAAATTGGGTTCACTGGCAGGTTTCTTTCTATGCTAAAGTATTGTTGGGGAAATGCAAAATAAACATAATTCAGCACAACTAAGCCATAAAGTAGGTAGAATTATATTAAAGGTTTTTTTTGGAACTCAATTTGGGTGCCCTTGAAGTGTACAGTTCTTACTTGTGATTATAATGAAGGCTAAGAATCTCAGAACAACACATGTTTTGAATATTGAGAACAGAGTAGAGGCTTTAAGAGCCACTGTATTTCCATATAATCAACTAAATTGCTGTAGGATTAGCCAAGTGCTTAGAAGATGTCAGCCAATCAAATAAAGGCTGGTTACATGTCCAAGATCTGAAAGAAACCGGGGAAGCGCTAATAAGAATCAGACCAGGATTCTAAAATAAATATAATGTGCACTAAATTCTTTTCCCTTCTTTTGTTTTTCATTTGAGTCTTTACTTGTGGAGGGAGAACTGGGGTTGCTTTCTTTGTTGTTTTGCAACAAAACAAAAATTGCATTTATTTATATAGTAAAACAGGGGAATAGTATAGAAGGGTGTATGACCAAGTCTGTTACCAGTAAATGTGTTTAGGACCATTTAAAAATCAACAAAATGTAGCAGTGTTTTTAGTCTGCTATTCTAAATATTCTTAGAACAGTTGGGCTAAAACACTGGTTGTTGAGAAAGCAAGATACTTTTGAACCAAAAGCTACATAATTCTTGTATTCAAGTTTGAATAAAGGGTGCTTTAAATGTTCCTTGGGGACTTTGATAAAACAAATATACAAGTGACTAAATTTGACTAGTTGATGAATTATTAAATCCAAAGATGGATATATTTAGAAAGATTCCCATAGAAGCTATTTTGTGTTTGTTTATTTATTTTTGTAAAAAGAGAGCCTCTTTGGTAGTTATTTGTAATCATGTAACACATGTTTATGTGCTTGCTGTGCATAATGTACTTTGATAAGTGCTATGAGGCATAAAAACATGAATCAGACTTATTGCCAGGAGCATTTAATATTGATCACATTTAGTCAAACTATGGCAGCCTGTTTTTGTATTGCCTTCAAACTAAAAATTGTATTTAGATTTTTAAAGGATTATAAATAAAAAAAACAAAGAAGACCATGGCTCTATGTGGCCAGCAAAGCCTAAAATATTTACCATTTGACCCTTTACAGAAAAAAATTTCCATTCCCTGGTTTAGATAATATATTAACACAAACATCTAAAATACAAAGTAGAAAGTGGCATGTGCCCATAGAAAGAACTTATGGGATGGAGTTCAGAGAAGGAAAAACTGTGTTTCATTGGGCACAGTGCTTAGGTAGGATGCTTGGCATTTGAAAGGACATTAAGAAGGTCTTTGAATATGAGGAGATGGAAGAAATGGTATTCCAAGTAAGGGAAACAAAATAATTCAAGTCACCAACTTTGGAAAAGTGTACGTTATATGCAGGAGACATACTTGGCAGATAGAGCTTTGTTCTCTGCAAGCAGCGAGAAGTCTTTAAGTGCTTTTAAACAGGGGTGTGAGGTGAACAGAAATTTATTTCAGGAAGATTAATTAAAGAAGAGAAAGAGTACAGATGAGGAGATCAGTGAAGAGATTATCCTAATAATCAAGGACAGTACTTTTCAAAGATGACTCTGAGATCTTGAATCTGAGGAGTGGCCCCCAATCTTTTTGGAACCAGGGACCGGTTTCATGGAAGACAATTTTTCCATGGACCCAGGACAGAGGGTGGTTTCGGGATTATTCAAGTACATTACCTTTATTGTGCAGTCAAACCTCTCTGCTAATGATAATCTGTATTTGCAGTCGCTCCACTGGTTTGCGGCCTGGGGGTTGGGGACTGCACTACATGGCCAATGGTACCAAAAATATAGTTTTACGTGCTCCTAGTAAGAATCTAGGTATGATGCATGTTTTTATTCCTCGTAAGATTTAGCAAAGTATATAGTGCATATTAATCCCTTTAACCATGTGTCAAATGATTGCAAAGAACTACTAAAGAGGCTCTTTTACAAAAGATGTTTAGGTGGGCTGGGCGCGGTGGCTCATGCCTGTAATCCTAGCACTCTGGGAGGCCGAGGTGGGTGGATTGCTCAAGGTCAGGAGTTTGAGACCAGCCTGAGCAAGAGTGAGACCCCGTCTCTACTAAAAATAGAAAGAAATTATCTGGACAACTAAAAATATATATATATGGAAAAAATTGGCCGGGCATGGTGGCGCATGCCTGTAGTCCCAGCTACTGGGGAGGCTGAGGCAGTAGGATCGCTTGAGCCCAGGAGTTTGAGGTTGCTGTGAGCTAGGCTAATGCCACGGCACTCACTCTAGCCAGGGCAGCAGAGTGAGACTCTGTCTCAAAAAAAAAAAAAAAGAAAAGAAAAAAAAAGATGTTCAGGTGGACACTCAGATACAAACGTTCAACACACAGTTGAAAACACAGATCAGGAACTAAATGGGGAGTTCAAAACTGCAGATTTAGATTTCAGGACCACCTACCTATAAGTACTAGATTAAACCTGGAAATGGTTGAAAAGGCAAGTGAAGATCAAAGAAAGGAATAGACAAATCTTAAGTGGTCTGAGAATCAAAAGAGAAAAATATCATAAGTCAAAAGAAGAGACATTTTCAGGAAGCAGTAGAAAGTTGAAGGTATAAATGCTTCAGAGAGGTCAAAAGGTGAGAATTACAGAGTGAGTTGGATTTGGACTACTACAAATCCATTGAGTTTGACTACCAAAATCAGTGGAAGCAGGTCTAATGGGTAAAAAAAGTTACAGAGTAGTAAAACATGTATTTCAGTTCCATCACCTATGTGCTGTGGAAACTTAAGTAAGCCATTAACATTCTCTGAGGCTCAGCTTCCTTATCACAGGGATAGTAATGCAGGGTATTTTGTATCAAGTAAAATAATGTATTTTAAAGTACTCTTAATCTGTAATTTTTAATATTTAAAATCCCCATTGTATTTAAAATAATTTTTGAAAATCTTCTTAGCGTTTTCTAGGATATCAAAATTAAAAATATACAAAACTAGGCTTACTGAGGTCAGGAACTTTACCCATATTGAATACCCCATAGTGAATGAACAGATGATTGAGTGAGAAGAGATATGAACCTTTATCTAAAGGATGTAATCATCTTCTAAGAAGGGAAAACAAATTTAGCAAAAGCATGAAATTTTCTTTTATATGAACTAAAGTTCACTATAAATGCTGAACTATTATCATTTTTTTTGCTGTTTTATTTATTTATTTATTTCAGAATATTATGGGGGTACAAACATTTTTGTTACATGTAATGCCTTTGCCTCATCCAAGCCAGGGCTACAAGCTTGCCCTTTCCCCATGCAGTGCACACCACAACCATTAGTTGTGAGTTCACCCACACCCACCACCTTCCTCCCATCTGATCGGCACCCAATGAATATTACTTCCACGTGAGCACCTTAGTGATGATCACTTAGTACCAATTTGATGGCACGTACATGTGTTGTTTGTTTTTCCATTCTTATGATACCTAACTTCAAAGGATGGGCTCCAGCTCTGTCCAGGATAATATAAGAGGTACTAGTTCACCATTGTTTTTTATTGTTGAGTAGTATTCCATGGTATAAATATACCACATTTTATTAATTCACTCATGCATTGATGGACACTTGGGTTGTTTCCACATGACCTGAATAACATGGCAAACAGTAATGCCATAGTAGCTGGGGATTTCAACACCCCACTGACCGAACTGGACAGATCCTCCAAGCAGAAAATAAGCAAAGAAACAATGGACTTAAACAGGGCTCTAGAACAAATGAGTCCAATAGACATCTATTATTTTTTTTTTTTTAAAAAAAGATGTTTTAGGCACTAACAGTGTTGATTCTCTCTAGAATGTATGTTGGTCTCATTATTTGAAATTATTTATTAAAAAAAAACCTCCAAAGTTTGGGGACTATTATTTTCTGCAAATCTATAAGAAAGTAAAACCAAATATTAATATAAATAAATCATTCTGAGCAAAACAAGCTGGCAAAATAAATTTAACCAGAAGTTTTAGATTTCTCAACAAAAAAACTGCTAGACAGTTTTACTATTTTGGCAGCTTGTTTTTCTCAATCTGTCCATTTGAATTGGTTCCAGATCCACCCTAAAAATTAGCAGGTGTTTTCAAAATGCCTAATCTTATAATCTTAATTGTTACTTGTAGAACCTTTGGCAGTAGTTCTCACATCTACCAAAGTATGTAATCCCCAGCATCTACTTTACTGTTCCCAGGCCACAAAGCCTTGCTTGAGAAAATTAAAAAAATAAAAAAAAAAGAGTGCTAATTTGGCTCATTATGAGTTCAAGTTATTCAGCTTCAAGTAGGCCTTCTGACCTTCATGATCATAATTATATTCATTAAATTCTTAATAACTATGGTTACAAATCTTTTCACTTTCCTCAACCTCTTGTGTTCATATTCCCTCACTTTCCTCCTACTTACAGAGAAAACCAAGATAATCTATCCAACGAGATCTTTCAATTTTCCCTCCACACCTCAAAAATCTCTCTTTTCTGGTCTTTCCATCTCATTAAGAAGAAAGACATACTCCTTTTTCCTTTTGCCTGAAGTCACTTCTCTGTCTGTACCTGGAGTCACATCCCCTCTTGTCTCTCCCATTTGTCTCCTTTCTCTGTTGCATCTTTAGCCTTCCTCACTATTGGTTCTTTTCCTCTATCTATAACTCTCCCAGGTCTTCAAGATTCTTTTTTCTCCTTTAGCTGCCACCACATCTCTCCTTCCTTTGATAAATTTCCTTTTCAGAAGAGTAATCCTCACTCATTTTTCCACTTCCTTTTAATCTACTCTCCTATGAACTTCTGGATTTTGCTTCAAAGAGTATACTGAAACTGCTCGCTGAAACATCACTATCACTTTCTTAATGGTCCAACCCTATTCCCAAACCTCATCCTCTTTGGCCTTTGGTCATTTGAGATGGTTCACCACCCCTTTCTCTATTTGGTTTAGTTACTCTGTGTTTACATCCCTCTCTGACAATTCCTCTGCCTGTGAAAGCAGCTCCTTCCTTCTGTCCCCTTAAATAGGCATTTCTCAAAGTTCTGACCTCAACCCTCTCCATTACCTTTCACTAATCTCACTCATTCCCACAGCTTCAATGATAACTTCAAGAGGAATAACTCCCATGTCTCCATCTCAAATGTGACCTTTCTTCAAGTCATTTTAAACTGCCTGTTGGGCATCTTCCCCTTTCATGCGCCTCAGATACTACTGGCTCAAACAAGTCTCACAATCTTCCCCTTTCCCAAAACAGCTTCTCCTCCCCCTCACTTCCCAATCCTTTTAATTAAGCCACCATGACACCCAGTGTCTTAAGCTGAAAAGCTTAAGGTCATATTTGACTTTTCCTCTTTTAGCCTCCACATCAAATAAGTTACCAAATTTTGTTAAGGCTACCCCCCAAATAGCTGTCAAAAAAGATAAAGAGTGATGAACTTGAGCCAGAAGCCCTAAGCAAGTCACACTTATTTAAACATTAGTTTTCTTATTAGTAAAAGCATGCTAATAATGATGTTAATCATATTAATATCTTAAATACCACAGTAAATCATTTTTTTGATTTCTCCAAAATAAATATGTTATCTCCAATCTCTGAACTCCAATAAGACTTTATTTGTATTTCTCTCATGTCATCTATACTACATCCTACCACATATTCTATATAGCTATTTGTGGACATGTTTTATTTCCCCCTCAGACAAACTGTTTTATTTCCCTCCTCTGGCTTGGGAAACATGTCTTTATCCCTTATTTCTATTTGAAGGTGGTACAGTGTGCTCCCCATAGCAGGAGCTCCACAACTATAAAATTGATGAAATTGATTAATATTAATTGGATTCTATCCACTGATAGAACAAAAGTATTTCCTTAATTTCTAGATCGAGTTTTAACTAGAATGCATAAATCTTTTGAACAAAATGACAACAAATGGAGAATAAGGAAGATCAGGAACAACCAAAAATAAAAAGGCTAAACAGAGACAGAAGGAAATCATAATGAGAGAAGTAGATCGAGATTGTTTTAATTATAGGGAGAAGAAATAAAGATTAGACAAGCTGGGAGGTGAAAGAGGATAAAGTTACCCTTTAGGAAGTTTAGCTTATTATAAATATTATAATGAAACTAAAATCTTCTCCTGTGAGATTTATAAGAGCAAACAAAAAAAGGAATACACTCAGATAAATAAAATGGGGAATATATCTAGACAGGATTTTCAAGATACTTTGAAAAATAAGATTATTTTTGTTTACAAAGCATGGAGCTTGAAATTTGTTTTATTCTTCAATAACGGAAAGAGTCAAAAGCTTAAAAATGACAATTTTTCTTCAACCCACTGCTGGGTCTTCTTCCTGAGAAACTGTTTGCTTGTTTATAGTTGAATATGGCCATATTGATGAGTTCTTACAGAGGCAGGCTCAGTGTTTTCTAATATGTTAGATACTTACATACACACTTTTAATTTTTCTGCCTTTGTAACTACAGTATGGGTAAGGAGGTGCGCAGGTGAGTGTCTGGATTCTAATTCACCCCCATCATCAATGGTCCTTAATTTGCACATTTTTCTCTACTAGCTCTGCATTGTTCAGTTTCAATTCCAACTCTATGGTTTTGTAATTGAATAGTTTTGTACCAGTTAGGAACCTAAGCTGAAAAATGTTGGGACCTTGTTTTATTCACTGCTCTATATCCAGTTCTTAGGACAATTTCTGGCACATAGTAGGCAATTGATAAATATTCATTGAATAAATGACCAAATTTCTCTGTGCTTCTGTTTTTTTCCTTTTTTAGGATTAAAAGGGATAAAATATATAAATTGCATAGTATGGAGTATATACTAAATAAATATTAATTTTTCCTTTCCCCTATTAACTAAAGAATAAAGATTCATCCAAGACTCTCTAGCAATGTGGATTGGAATCCAAATGATTTGATATTTAAAATCTCTTTGGATATATCCTAAGCAAGCACAGCAATTCTCACATGATGAAAAAGAAAGTACTATCTAGAAATAACTCATTGAAAATCAGGGATATCAAGTGTACTATGCATCAAAGTATGCATATCCCCCAATTTGTGTGTGAAAGAAAGAAAAAGAGAGAGGGAGAGGAAGAAGGGGAAAGTGTAAAGTGATTGGCCTAGTGAGAGAAAGAGAGATACTCTCCTCTCCTAGGCCCTCTGTATCTCCCTCTCCTTCCCCCCACCTTTTCAGATTTGTTGCTTAAACATTTAATTCAGCTAAAGAAGGAATAGACAACTGATTTAGCTATAATCACATTACCATTCAATATTTACATGGATATATGAAAACTCAAGCAAATGTCCCTCAACTCAGAGCCACATAGGTTCATACAAACACACATGCACAACTAGCAGCCTGCCTAGCTATCCTAGCTATAACATGAGAACATGATTTTTAAACAAGTTAAAAGGGGTAAGGCATGGTGGCTCATGCCTGTAATCCTAGCACTTTGGGAGGCCAAGGCAAGAGTATTGCTTGAGGCCAGGAGTTCGAGACCAGCTTGGACAACATAGCAAGTCCCTATCTCTACAAAAAATAGAAAAATTATCCTGGCATCATGGTGCAGGTATGTAGTCCAAGCTACTCAGGAGGCTGAGGTGGGAGGATCGCTTGAGCCCAGGACTTTGAGGTTGCAGTGAGCTATAATGACACCCTGCACTCTAGCCCGGGCAACAGAGCAAGACTCTGTCTCAAAAAAGAAACAAGAAAGAAAGAAAAATAAATAAATAAGGAAGAGAGGGGATAGAAACTAGTAGAAAATAGTACAATCTTCCCACTCACCTAGAATAGTAACAAGTGGTACCCTAATTTAACCCTTTGCTTTCCACAGCTGAGGCAAATAATTTATTTTGTCTTGTAGGGGAGGGGAGGATTGTTTGGCATCATAACACCAAAATAAAGAGCAAAGCAAAGAATTTATGCATTCCTATCTGGATCACACTGTTGCCAATTGTGAAAATAATGTCCTCATAACCTCATTGTACCTCCTGTTGCTGCTAAAGAAGGTAGGGGTGTGTGTGTGTGTGTGTGTGTGTGTGTGTGTGTGTGTGTGTGTGTGAATGTGTGTGTCAAGGAAGGCTTATTACTGTGGTAAAAGGTTTTCTTAATTTTCTCCTCAAAATTAGACACAGAATAATATCCTAGTCTGTGAAATGTAAAGTTACGCATCTCAGTAAAAAATATAATAATGTAATTTTCTAATCAGCTCATTGCTAGGCACAAAAGTTCACACAACATAGGCAACAAAGGCCTGGAGACATTTTTGAACTTTGACTTTGAGTTTTTATCTTCCTAGTCCATATCTCAACGGCAAATCTAAATAAAGACTCCAACCGCTGATGTAGCAGTTGATAGAGTTTTTATGTGAAGCCTCTGAAAGAACTTTGCCCCTTTTCCTCAGGTTCAAAGTGTATAAAAATTCTCTGTAGCATAAGGGTCGGGCTATACAAGTAGAAAGCCTTTATAACCTAGGAATTTACAAGCTGCTTGGAACTGTTGCAATTATGAGTCAGAATGTATGGGCACATGGTTGTCTGGAATTAAAGATGGCATTTTTTTATACTAATGGTTAGAAATTAACTTTATAACTGGAAGAAAGTTCAACAATATGATCTTAAAGATCTGGTAACTGACTCACCCTTCTTGTTTAAGCTAACAACTTCTAAATTATATGTTGGGAAAAGAGTTTGCATCTTACCTGTTCAGGATTTTGTACTATGTATCTCCTAATAGTGGTCTGTGGATATGTAGTGACTTTCACTGTTGGAGAATGGAGTTCCTGTGAAGAAAAGATAAAAGCTGCATATAATCATAATTATTTAGTGACCTTGGAGCCATCAATAATAATGGGGAACAATTTTCACAGTAAAATTTTTAGAGTCATTTGCATGAATGATGATGTATTATTTTATGATTTAGTTAATTTCAGTTTCAGAAACATATGAAAATGTGTTGTGTGCTCAGTGCTTTGCTGGGTACTTGTATTTATTTATTTCATGGTCTTTCATCACACTTTCTAAACTATATTTGATGAGAGTTTCAAAATATTTCATTGTAAATGTCACTACATGATTAAAAGAAACTATAGCTTAATATTGATTAATTAAATCTTTGGTTTGGAAATAACATCTTATATTTTTAAAAAATAAGAGGAAGTACAAAGAGAAAAATGTGTATGTACTTAAACATTTAAATCTTCAATGTGTTGGAAGGAGAAGGCCATAGATAACATTAACACTGAGACAAAACACTAGAACAAAGTTATTTGTAAACTTTGTAAACAAGCCCTCCAGAGGATTCTGATATATAGTCAATTTTGAGAGCCATTAGACTAAGGTTGCAAAAATGGCAAAACCTGGGACTAGAACCCACACTCTGAGAAGCATTTTTCCTTAGGCAAATCACTTAATCTTTCAATATTACATGTGTGATGTCAGACAAATTGTTTAAGATTTTGCAGACAAATTGAATGAATTATCAAATATTTTCATCTTTTTTAAAATTTTTTCATTTAGATGCAGGGTTTCCCTCTGTCACCTAGGCTGGAGTGCAGTGGCCCGATCATAGCTCACTGCTGCCTCTAACTACTGGGCTCAAGCAATTCTCCCACCTTAGCCTCCCAAGTAGCTATGACTTACAGGCATGCACCACCATGCCCGGCTAATGTTGTTAATATTTTTTTTTTTTTGCAGAGATGAGGCCTCGCTTTTTTGCCCATGCTGGTCTCGAACTCTTGGCCTCAAATGATCCTCCCACCTTGGCTTCCCAAAATGCTAGGATTACAGGCATGAGCCACCATGGCTGGCCTATTTACACTATTTACACTTTTGATGGAAAAAGAGTATATATCATCAATAAATAAGACAGCTCTTATGTATCAATGAGAAAAAAATCTTTACACTAATAGAAAAATGAGAAAATGACATGAACAATTTATAAAAGAAGAAAAGCAAATGATTAATAAACTTAACAAAAAGTGTTCAACCAAACTAAGAACCAAAAAAATGTAACAAAGGAATGCCATATTTTTATTGGAAAATTATAAAAAATAATAGCACTCATGAGGGTGCAATAAGACAGGCACTCTCCTATGGATAGGAGAAAGATTATATAATCATCCATAGGCTGAAATATGTAGCCGTTAAATAGTGATCTTGAGTAATACAAATTTATATGAAAAAAGCTCATAATGTCATGTAAATTTAGGTGAGAAAATGAGGATATAATACTGTATATATGGTATGATCTCAATTTTATATTTGAATTAAAGAAAACACAACCAAACGTTAAGAGTAGTATCTCTGGATGGGGGAGGGAGTCAGGAGTGATTTTTGTTTTTGCTTCACTATATAATTTTATAGTTCTAAAATTTTCTACAACAAACACACATTTTTATTATCAGAAATAATATGTACAGTAAACCCAATTTTAAATCCTGCCATGAAAAATAACATAGTTAATAGTTTTCTGACTGAATTTGAGTGTAGTGAACACCCCTGTGATTTAAGTGGACTTACTTTTTCAGGCAATCATACCTTGGTGGTCCTCCCTTGGTTTCACATTCCTTTGATTGGCTGATCTGATTCTCATATGTAAGAATCCCCTTTCTTATTTATTTTATGGTCCTGATATTATGTGAATGTGTAAAGTCTTATGAGGCCCTGAAGATAGCTTACATATACGAAAAATATTTACTCAAAAAGGAGAGAAACAAATCTAATCTAATCCATTTCTAAGTCAATCATAGCCTTTATTCCACTGTTGCATGGTTTGTTATGTATGTGACCCATGCTAGTCTGTGAGTTCCTTGATGATAGTGATTGGGTCTAATTTACTTTTGTGCAATATTTGGCACATACTTAGCACTCAGCAAATGTTAGCTGAATGAGTGCTTGACTAATTGACCTAACTGTAGTCTAGGCCAAATTGGGAAGTGGTAGGGAAACTTTCCTTTGATAACCTTTTTATTTATTCTTCATTATATCACATTTTTCTTACTGTATTCAAGGTCTAGAGATCACTTTTTGTCCATTTTCTCCTCACCGTCCAAGTTCACACCCTGATACCTCATATAGTTCAGACTATTTTCTTAAAACAGCATCTCTCTCCCTCCTGTCCTCTACATCCCATACCCCCTATACTCCTCTCCCATGTAACCACAAACTTAATGTGTTTTATGTTTTACTTTGTTAGAATTTACTTTTTGACATACGACATCGAATTAAACACATATTTTTAATATGGTATTTAATTATTATTATAGATACTTTTTGGATACACAATGCCTAATTAAAGAATAATCCTAAAAGTGGGATTATTAGGCCTTAAAGGCTAAGAGAGTTAGAACCTTGTGTGTCTTTCAAATCATACACTTATGAGAAGGGCTAATTCTGACCCTATAAGTTATTCTCTCTGAATATAAACATATAGTACTATCACTCACAAAGTAAAGCCCTCAATCAATGCAAGATGTAGGTATTTTATTTGTGCCTGAATCAAGGACCCTTAAAATATCCATACTCACTAGGAGATCCTTGGCTAAAATTAAACTATACTCAAACTAAAAGCAATTGGATGAGTAGACAATGAAACGGGAGAATCTGATTCATAGCACTTGTTTCACATTCCTTTAATGGGTTGAGCTGATTCTCATATGTGAGTATCCCCTTTCTTATTTTATGGTCTTGACATTGTGTGAATGTGTAAAGTATTATTCTTATGAGGGTCTACAGATTGCTTACATTTATAAACAAGATTTACATAAAAAGAAGAAAAACAAGTCTAATATAACCCATAACTTTTACCTGTTCAGTATTATGGATTATATGTAGAGCATTTGGGGCACAAGTAGATATTTTTGGAGTTGGAGAATTGAGTTCCTGTTAAGAGAAACAAAAGAGAGTTCAGAAATTGAAAGTCTTCTGTTAGTACCAAGGCTTGGGCAAGGCAAATGCATTACATGTAACAAAAAGGTTTGTACCCCCATAATATCATGAAATAAAAAAAAATGTATAAATACACAAAGGAGTATTATTCAGCCATAAAAAAGAAATTGAAAGGCTTAAGTTCTTGAGGTATTATTTCCTTTATTTTTATACTGACCCAATTAGTTAGAAATAAGTGTATTACGTAGTGCTCTCTTAGGTCATGTCCATCTTTCCAAGGAGCTAAATTACTTTGTCAGCTTTGCAAGTAACCTAATGAAAAAAGAGTTTCTACAGTGCTTTCATAGCAATACACTCTCCTTGTACTGTTAGGTTGCATTCTTTTTTTTTTCTTTTCAGCATATCACGGGAGTACAAATGTCTAGGTCACATATATTGCCTTTTCCCTGCCCAAGTCAGAGCTTCAAGCTTGTCCATCCCCTAGGTGGTGCACACCGCACCCATTAGGTGTGAATATACTCATCCCCTCCTCCCCCCTCCCACCTGCCCCACACCCAATGAATGTTACTACTATATGTGCACATAAGTGTTGATCAATTAATACCAATTTGATGGTGAATACATGTCGTGCTTGTTTTTCCATTCTTAGTATACTTCACTTAGTAGAATGGGCTCCAGCTCTTTCCAGGATAATATAAGAGGTGCTAGATCACCATTGTTTTTTGTGGCTGAATAGTACTCCGTGGTGTACACATACCACATTTTATTCATACACTCATGTATTGATGGTTGCATTCTTTTTATTTATCCTTTGAGAACTCTGCTAATACATACCCCAGTGTTATTATATATTAATATTTGCAATTAACAAGATGTAAAATTTTATCAAAGAAGAATATTAAATGTAAAAATTCTCAAACCAATATAAGAAACTGCCTTTAAAAACTCAACTAAGATTATTGCTCTTAGAAATACTTCAAGTTGACTCTTAGTTATGCTTTGTCTCATCTGCTTCTAGTTTAATTTCAAAGAGTAGGCTCTGCTGTTAAAAAATGGTCTATAAAAATGAGACAATATGATTTTTAATAATGATCAGATAAAACTATCACTCTATCCATTATTCTGGCATTGTTTATATTTTTCCCAAATCAGGAAAACTGCATAGCTTTATTAGCGTGCAGAGAGTTGATAACATTACTCAAGCTCCCTATATCTCGCTATAATTTACAATCAATTGGCACAACTCCATGGATATTTTCCCACAAAGGTAAAATGTTATTTTCTTTAGAATAAGGGGATTATCTATAAAATTAGGTAAGATGGTCTGAGTAAATGCCCAAAATGAATAAAATCTTGATGGAAGGTACTTTTAGTGGCTTCAAGCTCTAGGCAGGATTGCAGCAGTCATCCCACAAATAGCCATTGCCTGTTCCATAGGAATTAATCCAAATGTTTTTGAATGAATGAATGAAGAGCATGACTTAGTTTTAAAGGTACCCCAAGAATAAGAATCTAAACCTCTCTCTTAATAATCTATATTATTCAATGTTTAATTTTCAGTGTCACTGATCTGTATGTGGCTTCCTTAACCTTCATATAGAAATCATTAAATTCAATAAATAGTTACATTTTTTTGTTCTTATGCCCTCTATGCCACAGGCCCACATTCCGGATAATCAAGTAATTTAAGTTGGGGATGGGGTGGTGGCAGCTATTATGATATAGTGGAAAGAGATCTGGACTTGGAAGTGAGGAGTCCTGAGGTTTGCTGCTGGTTATACTCTTAGCCAGCTGTGTGATACCAGACAACTCATGTCGTCTGTCTAAGATTAGTTTCCTCTTGTGAGAAATGGGATGGGGATGTGGGTGAGTATGAATTAGATCTATTTCTGATATTCTGTGAATATAGGAGATCATTCCCATCTTCTTTTCCCATACAGACAAAACAATGTCAAATCTTTTAAACTTGTCAGTCTTGTTTTCTTTTAATGATGATGATGATAACTAACACCTACTCAGAGCTTCTATACAAAACATATTACATAGATCATCTTATTTAACACTCAAAACAACCTCATAAGGAAGATACTATTACAACCCCATTATTCACATGAGTAAAGTTAGACAGAGATACGTTAAGTAACTAGATGAATATCACACTGCTAATACTAAGGTGCTAGAATTCTAGCGCAGGTAGCCTGACTCCAGAACTCATTCTCTTATTCACTATACTTTGCCACATCTGTAGCTTGCCTCATTATATTTTCTGTTTTTCAAGTTGTATAACCTCATTATACGGTTAGGTTCAACTAGTCCTTATAATAGGAGGCTAGATATTGGTCTTTTTATTATTTATTGTCAAAAGAAACTTTTGGATGCCTGAAAACAAGAGACCCACCCGGAAGTGATTGTGTGAGAGAACAGCCCTGATTAGATAATTGAAGATTCTCTAAACTCAATAGAGGTTGCTTATAGAGTGCATGATATATATATAGAATGTATTCACAGGCCTTTAAATTCAATAAAACATTGAATTTTTCTTTAATACTTCTATCACCCAAGCTCTTCAATTTTGCAGGAAAACCTTACTTTTTCCGATAAAATATTCAGCATATTATTGAGTCATTTATTCCTGTGGCTCAGACCTGCATAAACATTATACTTTGTTGGTAACTTTCTTTAGGTAGAGTTCTGGTGAAAATAAATTTTGTTTATAATTATGTGGGCTCAGGCCCAGTGTAAAATCCAGGCCTGTTTTTCCTACACTGCTTCAAGTAATGATTTGCAACATCAGGAAAGTCATAACAGATCTCTTCTTCCTCCTCCTCTTCCTCCTTTACTTTTTCTGAAGTACATATGGCATTACCAATTCTAAGATCTCAGTGGATTAAAATCAGTCTGCTTTTTGGGATAATTTCATTGCAACATTTAAGACAATTGGCCATACCTTTGTATACCCTAAATCAGAGCTGGGAAACTCTGGTTTCCCTAGGAAACTCACTGTTCACAAAAATGTATCTTATTTTCAACTGTTATGTTTTTCAGAGTTAAATCAGATGAAGTGCAAGTGCCCCAAATTTCTCAGTTATTTATCTTAGTGGGATTGCTTTTGAGTAGCTCAGTGAAATGGAGAAAGGACGGAAGGTAGAAGCTGGAGAGGTATTATTCTCCTTTATTTATTTTTATGAAAACATTAAAAACTTAGGCTGTACCCTAAATTCCAGGATTATTTCAAAAACTTAAGCTATACCCTGAATTGCAGGATTATTTCAGAGCAAGACCTTAAATGGAAACTATTTCTGTCCTCTCATATATTTTTGATACTTTCCATTCTGATGACAGAACATTAAAATGGGAAAATACAGTAAGGGTAATCATCAAATAATTTGCTGAATTCAAAAAATATAAACCTGTTTAAACTGAAAACACTTGAGTATCTAACTAAGGTTAATTAAGGGAGACAGCTGATGTAATGAAAATATCAGGAGATGGTTTCTAAATTCATGGCATTCATTAACTATTTGTGCTTACTTGGACAAGTTAGTTGGAGCTATTTGAGCCTCAGTTTCTTTATTTGTTTAACAGAAAAATATTACACAATGCATATTGTCTTTATCTGTACACTGTACGACTTGTACAATAAGCATAATAATACTTTTAATACCTAATTTTGGAGTGCTAGTGAGTAAATACATGTATGTGAAAGAGTTTTGAAAAATAAAAAATCATCTATTAATATGAAGCATTATTTTTACTGGATTGGTTATATATGTGTCTAAGTTATTAACTTGCACTTTGTTCACTATTGTGTAATGGCATTGAGAGAGGTATAAAGGATGGATAGAATATAATCACTACCCTCATTAAAATTATACTCAGGTAGGAAATAAAAACTGTGATTAAAAACAAGAATTAAGTAAACTATCATAAGAACTATAAGGAGTTTATTAGATGAGTTTTGAGGTCTAAGAGATAATTTCAACCTGGGAAAATCTGAGATTTGATCACAAAGCTACAATTGAGGAAGGTCTTGAAAACTGGTATAACTTCAGGATGTCTAGATTGGTTAGGGAGGGGGATGGGGCATTTCACATGTAAGAGCAACTGAGTGAAAGACAGAGTTGTGTAAAGTTGGGGGCTATATTTAGAGAACAATGGTTTACATTTTGGCTGAAACATAAGACCCTAGAAAGAGAGTTCCAGGAAGTAAGGCCCATAGCAGTAGGATCATGGAGGGCTTTGAAAGTCAGAATAAGAAATTTATAGACATTTAGAAGGATTTTGCAGCAGAGGAGTGATATTAGGTGTTTGTAGAGAACTTAAGCAACTTTTCTAGAGAACACATTCTTAGGTGTAATTAAGTTTGTGAAGACTTAAAAAAAATTTTATGCAGGAACCTATGCATCCAAGTTGAAGTTTATGTTAGAAGAGAAATGGATAAATACTATACTTGAGATAAAAATCATTCCTTGGAAAGTTCTAAATGTGTTTTGGTGTGTGAATGAGTATGAAAAAGAAGTACAGGTTGAATATCCCTAATCTGAAAGTCCGAAATCTGAAATGCTCCAAAATCCAGAACGTTTTTAGTGCTAACATGACATCACAAGTGGAAAATTCCACACCTGCCCTCACGTGGTAGCTTGCAGTCAAAACGCAGTCGAAACTTTGTTTCATGCACAAATTATTTAAAATATCATATAAAATTACCTTGCCTATGTGTGTAAGATGTATATGAAACATAAATGAATTTTGTGTTTAGACTTCGGTGCCATCCCTAAGATATCTCATTATGTACAGGCAAATATTCCAAAATCTGAAAAAATTTAAAATTTGAAACACTTGCCAGCCTCGAGCATTTTGTATAAGGCATACTCAAACTATAATAGGATTTATTCTGGGCATATACCTGTTACGCTAAGCCGATAATAGCATAACTGAGTGAGATTCAATTAATAAAAGCACTTCACATAGACAACTTCAGCAGTAGCAGAGGT